AACTTACTCAACAACCCCCAGCGTTTGTTTAGTTCTTTAGTGAACACTGTAGTTTAGACCGAAATACTGTTTTTGTTTTGTGATTCTTATTATTGTGTTAGCTCGGAAAGGGCCGAGAAGATGCAAGTTTCTGAAGAAAGTATGTCAATTTACCTTAAAATAAAACCGTTATCATATCATGTAACGTAAATAACGTGGAGATTTATTTCAGTTTCTGTTGAGTGTATTTAAATTTATTGTGTTTATCTGACAAAGCGTGTTTATCTTTGTTATTATCTCCCGTATATCGGTCCAATGAATTTTATAAAAAGAATTATATTTGAAGTTGGGCGAGAAGAACCGAAACCTGACATTTAAACATAATACACAACATATTTTGTAATTCAAAACATTATTTGTTTACATTGGGGTTGTGTTGACATATCAAGTCTGATGAAATGATGGTTCTTTTTCAATTAAAATAAAAATGATATTTTTGCCTTCAAAAATACAATTTTTCCATTTAAACCGACATAGTTTTAAGTCCTATATTGACTTAGGTTATTTATGTTTTGTTCTTTATTTTTGAATTTAAGTGATTTTTTACCAGTTAAGGGTAACTTTGTTAGTGTAACTGATTGTCTTGTTAAATAGTCAGATGTTAAGACCACTGGAAACAAAAACATGTAGCTGAAAATCGGGGACACGGTTGTATTGAGTCTTTATATGAATCTAAGATTAATGGTTTGTGCTATTTCTCTTATACCCCTCCCCCCGTCCCTACAACTATTTAAGTCTCAAGTTGAAACAATGACTATTTTTTACAGCTCCCAGACAACACAGATTATATGCTGAAGTGAGTATGCAAATTATGACAAGGGGTGATCTTTAATATTATATTTGATAAAAAAAAGTTTTGAAGCACCACACTTAATATACCGGACAAGGCGCTTGAATAATTCAAATCTTGCTTTTTCATCCGCCGAAATTCACTTTAAAACGTTTAATGTATCTCTTCACACCGATTTATATACGATAATGAATGAAAAATGTAATATGTAGACGTCAAATCATTTTCTCAAACAGTCCAACTAGCCACTTTCAACAAATTTAGTCAGAATGAATGTTTCCGTCAGTAAAAGAATAAATAAAGAACCAATGCTTATGAATAGAAAAAATCTGTAGCATCTAAAAGCCAAGCAATAGCATGTTTAGTCAGTATTTGGGTTGTTAGATCTAATGTTTACCCCAGTTGAATGTTTTCTAATTTGACATAATGTAACTTAATGGATGTAATAAATTACGCTAGGATGTAGACCTTGTAGTTAGTGTTCAGTTCATTCTTTGTGTCGGAGTAAAGTTTTTCATTTTTTATTACAAATATAAAACAAATACCATACAAAAAAAAAACTACTCACGCCTTTTCTCTTGTCTCTTTTACCACGGAACTGTGTACATGAAAATAAGCGTCCGAGTGAATTTCCCATTCTAGAATTATCATTAGATCTACATCAAATATTTCCTACAAATGAGTATTTTTTATTATCAGATACTTTTATATTTTTAATCTTTACAACTTATCTTAATCTATTTTCATAGTTATGTTTAAGTTCAATTGGTTTCGAGGTGAGAGGAAGGTTATTCAGGTAGTGAAAGGGTTGTTCATAAACTTGCTACTCGTAGTGTATTTCAAATATCATCATTGTGCAGACGACAAATTCAATACATCATTGTAAATCATTAAAATGTTTACTCATATTTTATGGCTAATATATCATGTATATACATTAAAATGATGTGTTACAAATAGATCATTGCATTACATGTTACAATTTTGTTTTTATTATAAAACTGTATTAATCACTTAACAACCCTTGTTTACGTGTATCAGAAATGGGAAAACCTGAATCTATTTTAAGTTATGAACGAATAAATCTATATTTACATTTAGTAACATAACTTTCCAATCGGAATATCTCGAGTCTTTTCGTGATATATAGCTTAGACCGTATTGACCAGCCAATCAAATCTGGATAAAGGAAAATCAATGCCACGAAAACAAAATAAAGAAAAATAGATATAATTTATAGACTGTTTGTTATTCAGAGACATATTTACATTATCTGTGTTATTTTGAACTTAACTTAAAGGTCATCGAGGTCACAAACACAGAGTGAAAATATTTTAATCACAGTTATATAAAGATTAATGTAATTTAATAATCAAAAGCGTATTTCATATAATATTATAGGAGAAGAAGTATGAAATATAAATTTATTTTTATAACATAGATCAAATAAAACATGAAATGGAAATACCTGCAAAGGAAAGTGAAGAAATATACTAAATTGAATTTAATTGACAATCGATAGATTATACTATAATATTTAGCTCGACTTGAATCACAAGCGGTGAAATGTTTACATTCATGTTGCACAATTTTAATGATATTCTTGAGAAATTGGGTGAGGAAATAATCTGAAAAGTTGCACACAAGTTATTCGCTCAGACTTACATCAAATGGTACACAAAATTGTATCCAGTTCCTCAGTCCTTAAGGCAGGAGAGACAGAGAGCATTAGGCCCGTGGATCAAATTTAAAATCTCAAACATTTTCCATTGTTTATCCTCATATAGATTTAATATTTAATTGATAAAACTGGACTTGAAATAACATGTTTAGGAAGATTTTAGAATAAATTTATTGTTACTTTTGCCAGATATGACCATTTTACAGTTGATCAAAATATTGATCCTAAAATTGAATCTTATTTTGGTCTTTGTTTTACTATAAGTCGATTTCATCCCAAAAATTAAAACAATAACGAAACTCACTTGTGTTAAAGTTAGTGTTTAATTGTAATTCTTTGAATCAAAAGTAATATTAAGTAAATGGCCTGCTATGATTACAAAGATGGTAATATTCTTTATTAAAAAAAAATTTGCGTGTAAGATTTATCTGCTTATTAGCATGCCCCAATAGAGTGCATCATTGCATTAATATATTATTGGACTTAATTCTTTGCCTTGAAAAATATAACAACACTGAAGTGAAGTACGGGGCAACTTTTTACAGCTGCCACACAGCACTTTACACCTGCTGTTGTGAAGCATAAAAATCTGGAAACATAGCGATTCCTCGGAAGCATTTATCACAACAAAATTACAAGAGAATTGCAGACTCGCTTTGATTGAGTCTGTACATGAAGGATAATGAATATGTGCAACATTCCTCATTCCCCGTAGCACCGGCTGGAGCGGTACTCAATTCTCAACACTTAATAGTGCTGGCATCAATGATCCCGAAGAACCAGAAAAAATAACAACACTAAAGTGAGTACGGGGCAACTTTTTATAGCTGCCACACAACACATCACACCTGCCGTTGTGAAGTATAAAAATCTGGAAACTAAGTGATCTCTATGAAGCATTAATCACAACAAAATTACAATAGCATTGCAGACTCGGTTTAATTGAGTCTGTACATGAGGGATAATGAATATATGCAACAACCCTCACGCCCTCTTGCACCGACTTGAACGGTACTCAATTCTCAACACTTAATAGTGCTGGCATCAATGATCCCGAAGGACCAGAAAAATATAACAACACTAAAGTGAAGTACGGGGCAACCTTTTACAGCTGCCACACAGCACTTGACACCTGTTGTGAAGTATAAAATTCTGGAAACTAAGCATTAATAACAACACAATTACAATAGCATTGCAGAATCGGTTTAATTGAGACTGTACATGAGGGATAATGAATTTGTGCAACATCCCTCACGCCCCCTAGCACCGACTTGAGCGGTACTCGATTCTCAACACTTAATAGTGCTGTCATCAATATGTGCAGCATTACTCACGCCCCCTAGCACCGACTTGAGCGGTACTCAATTCTCAACACTTAAAAGTGCTGTCATCAATATGTGCAACATCCCTCACACCCCCTAGCACCGGCTAGAGCGGTACTCAATTCTCAACACTTGATAGTGCTGTCATCAATATGTGCAACATCCCTTACGCCCCCTAGCACCGGCTTGAGCGGTACTCAATTCTCAACACTTTTATAGTGCTGTCATCAATATGTGCAACATCCCTCATGCCCCCTAGCACCGGCTTGAGCGGTACTCAATTCTCAACACTTGATAGTACTGTCATCAATATGTGCAACATCCCTCACGCCCCCTAGCACCGGCTAGAGCGGTACTCAATTCTCAACACTTGATAGTACTGTCATCAATAATCCCAAACTTTCAAATAACGAAGATCCCTGCAATCACATACCGTTGTCCATCAACATTTTTACATTATTCTTTAGTACGTCTCAGACAACCAGTCATGTATGTTAACATGTTGATATTTAACTTAAATTGAAATTGTGCATAACTGACAAATAACTAATCTATATTTTGAAACTACGAATAACCGCTGAAAGATAACTTTTTGTTGATTGTAAAACACTAATTATTATTAATTAAATGAAATAAACGAATTATCGGAAAAGGATAACTTTTTGTTAATTGGAAAACACATTTAATTTTCATTAAGAAGTTTAAAGTGTTTTTTAAAAGTAAAATATTGTGGAGGGAACAAAGAAAGTATTATACGCAATGCAAATGACACTTACAATTCACACACACACAAAAAAAAACAGAAAAAAACAACACCAAAAAAACAAACAAACAAACAAAAAACAAGATATGCAGAATACAGCCATTACTAAAGTTCTTAAATCTTAGTACATTTTTTTCAACTTTGATTTTCTTGATATATTTAGGCTCATCTGGCGGCATGCAGATTTAAGCATAGGGCTTCAGGTAAAACAATCATATGTTCACACATAAGGCGTCTGTTTTATAATATTAAAGTTACTGACATAACTATTTTTGCAAATTATCATTTCCATTCTATCTAAGATGAGCAAAACGATGCATGCACGCATTTTCTGTGTTTGGAAGTTTAATCGCAAAAATATTGGAACCTTACTTTCTTTTATTTACCGTACAACATAAGTTCTTCGTAGTAAGCTGTTTCAATGAAAGTCTCCAACAAATGCACGATCCCGGCTATTGAAATCACATATTAGAGGAACGTAACGAGTCTTAAGTATATAGATACAAAATATATATTTTAGTTTTTGTATTGTTTTTACTTCGATAAGTTTTTCAATAAATTGTATAAAGCATAAATGTATAGAGAAAGCCATGAAAATCAAAGATGAACCTTGAAGAGAGATCAAAATTTGTTTTAAAATGTTCGACAAATGTTCATTAATTTACAGCTTGACCTCTAAGAATTATTTGTCTTTCTGCTGTTTTACGGAGTTTTCTGATCTCCGATGTTAGTTTGATGATGTCTTGGCGAGTAGGCAAACTTTGGTCGAGCGGTGGGAATTCGTGTACTTCTGCCAATTGCATTGAATCGTCAGTTCCGTCAGCAGTTGAATGTTGACTTTTTCTAGTTGAAAGATACTTTAGTCGCCATTCACGTTCTTTCCTTTTGGTATTCCGCCCCTTTGTTGGCAGGGTTGTTGTCTCTGAATAAAATATTTTTGTTTGAATATCATTTTAGTACTATGAATAATATAGATTAATAATAACAATAAAATGTTTAAATTATGTTTGTGAAACTTATTTTCAACTTAAAATACCAATTCTTTTTCGTTAAAAATCTTTGAGAATTTATCTGAATTTCGATTGTTTGCTTTTAACTTTGAACCATTAGCCATAATATTAGTTCAGTGTTATATGTTCAACGTTTGTTAACAGTCAGGTAAAAAGCATATAAATTAAACGGACGTGCATAATTTCTTTTTGACATTTCTACAGCGGTCGTTGATTTGTGCCCCGCGACCCCGCCAAGCAAAAAGTCGAAAATTCACACTTTAAAATGGCCTGGGCGCGGAGCAAAACCACGCTAAATAGCGAGGGCGCGGGGCGAAGTTTAATAAATAAAACTTTGCCGCGCGCCCCCGCTAATTAGCGTGTTTTCGTCACGCGAACCCGCCAAGCGAAAAATCGATAATTAACAAGTTAAAATGGCGGAGCGCGGAGCGAAAACACGCATATTACCGGGGGCGCTATTTTGTGTGTTTTCGCTCCGCGGCCCGCCGTTTTATTTCTTAAATATCGGGAGCGAAGTTTTATTTATTAAATTTCGCCGCGCGCCCTCACATATTAGCATGTTTTCGTCCTGCGACCCCGCCGTTTTAAGTTGTAAATTCTCGTCTATTCGCTTTGCGGGGTCGCGTAGCGAAAACACGAGTGGCACAAATCAGCCACCATAGAATTCAATGTTCTGTCTGCAAGCAATTTTCTCAAAAAAACATTCAGTGCGAGAATAAAAATAGGTACATAAGAAAATTTGTGGAGTATGGCAAAATTTATGTCTACTACAATATTGAGGCATTGTAACATTGTCACATAATTATATAGTATATTTAATCAACTGTTACAATAGAAAATAGTAGTATTAGTATAAGCTTTAAAAAATCGTTCAGTATGGCAAAATTATACGCCACAAATGAACATTTATGCCAGTGATTATGAAATGAAAACAAGACCTTGAACCGGCAGGTTTTGTTCCGTTGGCTTGATAAATTCAAAAAGATCCGCTATATCCCATAGTCCGAGCTCTTCAAATATTTGTATAAGAATTTTATTCCAATCTTCTTTTTGTTTTTGTTTACCGACATAATCTAGTGCATCCTTAATTGCTTCATACTCCCCACTCGATCCAAATTTTGCTTGTACTACGGATTTGTCCCTTTCATTCAACAGTTCATTTTCGTAAATTTTATCAAGGAATGTTGGTAAGTGTAATCTTCTAACAAGTTCTGGTGTAAGAAGCCTTAGCAGTGCTCTGTTGCCGTCATGGTGTTTCTCGGTTTTCCCCTCAATCAGGAGTTTTATGTATTTGTATTCTAAAAAGAGATATACATGTTTTCGTATAAGGAAATAACTTAATCCGAAGAATGAGAATGAACCATCTTAACATAAATGTTCTTGAAATTATTTTAAAAATATTCTTTTCACCTTAACTATTTTAATTGCTCGCAGTTTATCCCTCCTTGTATATATATATATAGGAATTATTCAGTTTTCGTAAGAAAGTTCGTCAACACCCTGATAAAAGAAAAAAAAAAACAAAAAAAAAACAACAAAAAAACATGTGCTTACTTACTCGGCTATACATTGATCTGACAAAGGTTAACCGTTTCGTTGTCAAGTGTTAACAGCATAAGATATTTTACGAATACATTTTCACACGTATTATCTATTGTCCTGCCAGATCAACCTATAGTTTTGAATATTTCGGTAAGATGATATCCAACAAATGACTTTTAAGGTGAATTGTTTTATATCAAGTATCTAAGTATACCCTGAAATAAGTTTTAAGCGATGCATCCGCAAACATAACATACCTTCTGATTTGAGAGCTTGGAGAAATGTTTGCCATTTGCCTTCAGCTCTGCTTTTCTTAATTTCAGAAATGAGACGCTCAAACGCATCCGGGGCACAATATTTGTGTTTACTTTTAATTATTTCACGTGCACGGTCTTCTAAAAAGATGAGTATATCAATTATTTAACAATTATCATTTTCAAGTCATTTGTGCGAAAAGATCTTTTGAAGTAATGCTAATTCTATCTACAAGAAACGACAAGTATCCCCTTACATAATTTTTATATTCTGAATTTTTTGAAAGAACTCTTGAAGCTTTGATTATTTGCAGATTCAAAATTTCTAAAAGCATTTTCAATATCTTAGTGGGTTTTGTATGGCATTACAGAGAAATAACAATTAAATCATTTCCTAACTGTCATAAAATATACAATATATTCAATTTTGTATAGACAAAAATAATAACCTATAAAATCTATATGTTCTAGAATGTCAGTTACAATAATTTGATGCTTAATAAACGGCATATAAACTTCAATCATGAATTCAGTCCGATCTATTTCTACAACTGTTCCTGAGCCCTCGCTGTCGTCATCTGATTGTGTGTGATCATCTGATAACCCTGAATCAGATTTGGAAGCATCACTGTTTCCATTTCTGCTAGATCTCTGACAATGTAAATGAAATATATAAACTATTGACAATGCTATTCCAAAACTTGAGATATAGTTTGGTTTGACTTGTGGTAAAGAAAAATCAACATTGTATGTAGTCGACAATATATTTTGTTTTTCAGGGTCATCGATTGCGATACTTTTATTCATGAGCATTTATATCGTTTAAGTCGATGATAGGAGCATGATACATTTGTAGTCTGGTTTCGACTATCTTCTATGAACAGAATCAATGAACCCATATCTACGAGTTTTTACTATTTGTTTAAACATTCCAACGTGCTTTGAACGCTTAAAGGTAATTAAAGTAATTTCCCAAAACTTACAGTGGAAGAACTTTCCGTTTCTATATCTGAATGCTCATCTGTTGAACTCTAAAAATAAAGTAAAACTATATCTTTCAAACACGTTACAAAATAAAAATATTATTATTACAAAACATAACTAGTTATGTTAAAGATGCAAACCCAATGTAAGTCGATACCGACAAAATATTAATTTATAACTTAATTAATGATTTTAAGCGAAATATTCTGCCCCTTTTTTCACTTACGTCATTGGCAGTCATCCCAAAAGCGTCGGCGATCTAAAAAATAATAATAATAATAATGATAATGATATTTATAATAATAAATAATAATAATAATTAAAAAACCAACAACCCCCCCCCCCCCCCCCCCCAAAAAAAATAAAAATAAAAAATAAACACTAGCATGAGTGACCAAAAACGAAATACTAGACAGTTTACAATGGAACTTGTTCATGCATATTTTGAGTCTCATATAAGTTACACTGTATTCCTAGAAAATCAGTGTAATATTAATAGGGTAGTATATAGGGTAATATTTCATAATCTAATATTTTATTCCTTTTAGCACTAATTAGAAATATATATTTAATTTCATATTATTTCGTATATCTGTACTTGTTATTAAAAGAAATTGTCAGAACGCAAGTTACATGTTCATTGTTGCATTAGGTACTTAATTGACAAGGACTACGAAAAGAAAACTACATGTAATACAATGTATTTGATACAATTATTCAGAACGTACCATCCCAGCTGCTGATAGCAATTGTGTATCAAAATTAAGACTTTCTTCATGTTTAATCTCCTTTACATAACTGTCACCTTTAAAACCTTCTTCATTTGTAAATCTGTTGGTACGAGATTGAATCTTACTTTCACCATGTTGTGGAAATTGGTCATGATTTTGAGACTGGACTTTGAATTTTGTATCTGTTTCTACCAAATTCTGAAACAAAGCCGCAAAAAGAATAATGTAAACTTATTATCTATCTCCTGAAGTTTACAGATGGATTAAGAGTTTAGTTTATTTCACTCAAAGAAGATGATAAGTTATTTAAAACTTTGCATGTTACTAGTATTTCATCTCAGAAGTGTCATATTTTCTGGTCCTTCTGCATTTTGATGAGTTTAAATATCTAAGATATTTGCGTCTGACGATGACGTTGATGCCATAACTTTCCAGATTATCAAAAACACACTTTATTACAAATCATAATGTTTTGCAGAAATAAAGAAATACTGGTCCAAAATATCAAGTTGATATAAGAATATTCAGAGGTCTTTAACATTTCTGTTTTTTTTTCTTATTTTGTTGCACCTAACCGTGGATTTATAATGAAAAGGTTCTTTACGATCCTCATTTTCTTTTTCAGTGGTTGCCGCAACTAGAGATAAAAGCTGAAGTGAGTCAAAAAATCAGTAATATTTCATTTTAATAATAACTGAAAATAGTAGGTTAATTTTTATAAGGCTTAAGTTTCAATTTGAAGATTTTATTTGAAGAATGTTATATTTTACTTACCGTTCCAGGAACATCCAATTCATCATTCATTTTGTCAAGGATTGATTCTTTATGATTTTCACTAACATTCTGTATTTCTGCCTCATTTGAATTGTCATTCTGCAATAAAAAGACCAATAGACGAAACAGTTGACTATCTTTTAGAATATCAACGAACTAATCACAGAAATCGACATATCTTTAATAGTTCGCTACATTTGCTAAAAATGTTGCAAATAAATATATGCTACTCCGAACTGAAGAAAAATTATAAAAGTGCAGTATTTCCAGTCCCGGCAAAACATAAAAGCGTGAAAACGGAGGAATTAATCATTTTTAATGATATTTGATACAATGCTAAGAAACATCCTTTATTGATACCAACTTTAATGTCAAAGTATGGGTAAACATAATCGTTGTAAAAAGAAATATTCGTTTTGTTGTTGATTTAACATTTTAAAATTTTGGGTGTTTATATTTCCCTGGCAGAAAAAGTTATACTTTGAATTAGTTTTTATTTAATTTTCATTAATATTACAATAGCATTTAACTTTTATAAAGAACTCATATTAAACAAGTTTATATGTTTTATTGGCTATTTTACATATAAGAGTTCTCTGTACTTTATCCGCCGATACAGTTGTCTTCTAAAATGAATGGAAATTGTTTTTTCTAATCTAAACTTTGAAAAACAATTATTTTATATAATATGAAGTTTTAGTATAAAGCTATATAGACATGTTATTATTTTTTACGGTTAAGACGTGATACGCATATCTTAGCAATTGAAAAGAATGCAACACGAATTTGTAAATGAAAAACAACAAGAAAACAGTACTTACAATTTTGCTTTTAATTACAAACCATTATGTTTTGCACAAATAATGAAAATACTGATACTGTCTTACCATTTCTGTATTTTCAGAATTGTTCGTGTTATGTTCATGTAATGGTGATTCTTTGTTAGATTCACTTTCGCTGTTTTGAGACGATGTTAATAAAGGTCGTACCCCTGCCTATTGGATGAAATGAAACTGGTCTTATTTCGATTATAACTAATACACATTTATTTTTTTTATAATACATAGCATAAAATTGATGGTATAAAATACTTAAGAACTTAAAAAACCTAGAATAATGGTCTAAAAAGAATATTATACATTCAAAAGATAAATTCTTTCATTTGTATTTATAACATTTCGCCATCTTCATTATCCGAAAGTTTTCTTTTCTGCATAAAACAAAGACATGTATTCTTGTCCAAGAAAGTAAAGATAAGTTTTATTTTTTAAACTTAATTTTTTAACTATTCAATTCATTTGTAGAACAACAGGATCAGATTTATCAGCCATTTTTTCAAGACTTGATTTTTTATGATCTTCTTTCTTGAATGGACTTCCACTCCGTAAAAGTCACCACTTGACAAACTTGAGAAAAATTTACGTCGTAAAACTTACGTCGGAAAGGTCAACAAAATAACTTAACTAAGCACAGGAAAAGAAATTGTAATATTTTGATAGTTTCAATTATAAAACTCTAAATTAATGTAAAAACCTGACTTACTTTGTCTGTATCACCAGGTTTAACATTGACTTTGTTCAGTAATTGTTCTTTATTGTCCACTTCAATGGCCTATATAATTGTGAAAATTAAATAAAGATTTATGTTGAAATAATACATATTTACTAGTATAGATTAATAACATTAATTTTGCTTTTAAAACACAATGAAGCTTCAATGTGTGTCAGAATTTTTGTTTGTTTTTAATTAGTTTTTGTTTTGTTTTTGATTTTCATTTTACAATCTCATTTGTTATCTTTTAAACAACAAGTATAAGTTATTATCAATTTCATATCATCGAGAAGTTAAAACCCGACTTACTTTGTCTGTTTCACCAGGTTTAACATTGACTTCGTCAAGAAATTGTTCTTTACTGTCCACTTCAAAAACCTTTAAAATTATCAACAAAATCAAGGGTAAATATTTAAAAAAGCGTTTATTTGAAATTTTATTTATTATTTTATAACATTAGATTTCTTCTTATTAACAACTCATATCTGACAAATACATATGTGCATTTTATTTATATATTTGAAAGATTTTGATTGATTTCAACATACTTCGAAAGTTCCCTGTTCTTTATCCCCCGATGCACTTGCCTTCTAATATGAATGAACATTATTATCTTAAAACTGTGGAAAACAATGATTTCATATGTGATGTCAATTTAAAAGTCTACAGCACGAATATGTAAAAAGAAAAATAAGAAGAAAACAGTACTTACAGTTTTGCTTTCATTTACAAATCATTGTGTTTTGCATAAATAAAGCAATACTGATATTGAAGAAGCCTTACCATTTCCGTATTCTCAGAATTATTAGTGTTAATGTCATCTAGTGTTTCTTTGTTATCTTCACTGTTAAGAGGCGATGTTAAAAAAGATCGTACTCCTGTCTATCAAGAGACAGAAACTAGTCATATAAGACGTATAACTGATACACATTTAAAAACCATAATACATAGCATAAAAATACTGGTATGTTTTAAAAAAAAAAGAACTTTAAAAACCTGGAATTATGGTCTTATAATAATGTACATTCAAAATATAAATCATTTATATTTTGAATGTACATTATTATAAGACCATAATTCATTATTATTATGCTTCTATTTGTACTTATAGCATTTCACCATCTTCATAATCCAGAACTTTTCTTTTCTGTAAAACAAAGACAAATGCCTGCTTCGCAAAGAAATTAAAAATACGTTTTTGTTTTCTTTTAAACTTAAATTTTTAATTATTTAATGCATTTAGAGAATCTCTACTTACGCCAGCATCTGATACATCAACATTTTTGTCATGAATTGATTCTTTGTGATTATCATTCTTTTTTGACGCCTGGAATGAGCTTCTACTCTGTAAAAGTCACAACTTGATAAGCATGTGTCAACCGTACGTTGGAAAGGTCAATAAAATCAGTTAACTAGTCACAAGAAAATATATTGTCATATTTTGACATTGTCAATGAAAAAGACAAAAATGTTAAAATGTTACAAAAAAGTGCACATCAGTCAGATACAATCTATTCATTGATGTTAAATTAATTCGTCCTTGCAAATCATGAAAAATCTAAAAAAGAAAAACACCATTAAATATTATTTTTCGTCTTGTCAAAAGGTATTCTCTTTTAATTCACAGTAAATGACTTAAGTTAAAATTCGACTTACTTTGTCTGCTTCACCAGATTTAACATTGACTTCGTCAAGTAATTGTTCTTTATTGTCCACTTTAATGACCTTAATAGTTATCAACAAAATCAAGGGGAAATATTTATGTTGAAATAATACATATTTATAGATCAATTATATAAAATTTTGCTTTTATTCTGAAATAGATTAAAACATAGAGAAGCTTTGATGTATATTGGTTTTTTATTTCTTTGTTTGACGTTTTTCCATTTTACAATCTTATTTGTGATCTTTTAAACAACAGGCATAAGTAAAAGTAAAACACTTGTTTTATTATCAATTTCATATCATCGTATACATTTAGTATATTTCAACAACTTTTATAAGCAGTTTTATTATATCTAATATAGCTAAGAGAATCTTTAAATGATACCAACTTTCCTCCAAGTATGTTGGAAAACACAATTGTTCTTAAAATATTTATAATTGGTTTTACTTTAAAGGTTTATAACTCCCTGGAAAAAGCAATTTGAGATTTCATTTATATTTCTTAAACATTTGAATTTTATAAACAACTAATATTAAACAAATATGTCTGTTTTTAATTAGGTAAAAATGATATTATTTATATTTTTTGGTTTTGTACGGTTAACTTACTTCAACATGGCTCTTTACTTGGTCCCCTGATGTATGTCATATATTTGACACATGACAGTACCTGATAGTTTAGACCTTATACTCGACACTTATCAATCAAAATTCGCCAGACCCAAGCAGGAATTCGTAGAAGAAAAACAACCATTAAAGAACTACTGATATTGAAGATGTCTTACCATTTCCGTATTTTCAGAAAGTTTGTTGTCAATGTCAAGTAGTGATTCTGTCTTATCTTCACTTTCGCTGTTAAGAGGCGATGTAAATAAAGGTCGTAGTTCTACCTGTGAGAAGAAAGACGTATTTTGAATTAAATGATACATATTGAAAAGCTTTAAATAATTTTGTTAAATTCCTGGTATATTTACAAATAATTACAAAGGAAGAAAAACCCCAAAACACATGAGCACAAAACAAACAAACAAACAAACAAAAACCCTTAGAATTTAGAGTGTACAAACTACCATTCTGTAAGACAAAAAAATAAAATAAGTATTACTAAGACAAATGTATGGAAGCCTTGGAGGGACATTTATTATTTAAAAATTATAACTTATTTCCTATTTTTTTTATTACTTATCACTTATTATTTACAGACTATAACTTATATTTAGTATTCAACAACGGCATGTTTGGCAGGAAAAAAACTGTTTACATAAAGACAGTTACTGGAAAAGATGAAGGAGAACATCATTTATAGAAGGTCATGTTATGCGGAAGCCCTGGAAGGAAGATTATTATTGATTACTTTTTATTTATGACTTAATATGTTTTATATAATTATCAATTATTATCTATTACTTATTATTTTATAACTTACTATTTATCAATTTATTTCTTATTTCAGTCGAATATTTTTAGTTACATAATAATTTAATAAGTATTTAGTTGTAACATATTTATTGCATACATTATAGAATCAGATACATACGTAATCAGACTACAACATATACAGGTTTTAAATGACATATTCGACTGAAATAAGTAATAAGTAATAAATAATAAGTGATAAATAATAAGTTATAAATAATAAGTAATATATTATAATTGATAATGATGTTAAACATATTAAGTAGTAAATAATAAATAATAAGTAATAAATAATTATTTTCTTTCCAGGGCTTCCGTAATATATGGCCTTAAATAAATGATGTTCTTACGGTTCTCCTTCATCTTTTCCGGTATTTGTTTTGAGGTAAACAGAGCTTTTCCCTGCCAAACATGGCGCGTTTCAATAATAAATACAAGAAAAGCATTGATGCAAAGCATCAATGGGCGTCCAAACAGCAGGTGCAGATGAACTAGTAGATATATGATGACAAGATATTCTTATAAACTTTTCAATGGTTCATTGGGTTTTACCAGAATTGTATATCACTTTTGAATGAACGGACGAAAGACATTGTTCATTATTTATAACTTTGATCGGCACCATACTTGTGTAATTGTCCCTTATTATGTTATTGCTATTAACGAGGACCCCCTCTTACGGTATCTGTTCACACTAAGTAACAATATGACACTTGTTATATTACCATGTTGATCATGTTGAGCATAATTGTTTATTATACAATAAATGTAATTTCTATTTTAATAAAAAAAAATACAGATTTTATGAATATTGTTTTCTTTTCTTTTTTTTGTGTGTGTTTTATGCGCTATTTAATACTGAGTTTTTACGTTTACTACTATTTTAAGAATTCAATTGTCATAATGATCGACGATTATAAGTCAAAACTTAACTGGAAAAAGTCAGTAAATCATGGTTAATCTTTCAATTTATAATATTGTTTATTCTTAAACCATACACATGTACATTTGTATTTTTCTCTATCATTTTTTAAATTATCAATCAATTGAATAATTCATAAAATCTGATTTGTAACTTTGAATAATTCCTCGGAATCTTTACTAAACACGAATAACAAATTATATAAAATGTTTTAAAGTTGATAGTGTCATATTAATGCCATAAAAATGTACATTTTTTCTCAATTATTGTACATATTTATTGTTTTTATCTCATATAGATAAAATATAAACATGCGATTTGTGTTGTTGGTTTTTTTTTTTCGAATTGTATGTTTATGTATAATAATAATCAATCAATTCGAGAGTTGATCTGTGTTTTATTAATTATTGTAACCAAACTAAGTGACAAAACATTCATTTTGAAAAAAAAGCTTATTTATCTGTAAAATATTTGTTCTGTTCTGTAACGATATCTACTCCAAAACCGGGAGAGACCGGACAATAAACGTGTGGTACTATTCGCCGGTCATTAGTAAATCCCGGGAGAGACCGGGAATTACCTAGGAGTACATCCCTCTATAAATAGATTTTCGGAATATTAAGGTCATCAACTCATCATTCTATTAACAGCTTTCGGAATAACATACCATAATAACCCACTGTGTACTACAAAATGATAAGCAAAAATACCCCGAAGAGCGCGATTTATTGACGGAAAAGGTTATTTCATTTGAAAATGTTTGCATTGCGAAATTCTCCAGTTCGCCATTCATTGTACATATCGCGACTAGACTGGTCCCCTGCGAACTTCTAAAAAGTATGGGAACCATAATAGGACAGGGAACCAGATTAATATCGCGACTAATTAACAATCAAGCACCCTCATACCGATCGGAATGATCGGCTTTTATTATTGGCAACTATAAAAGGCTCGAGAAGTTGCTGTCGCCCTTTCACAAAATCTCATTTCATTCCAATAGGCGCCGCGCTTCGGCGCGGACGCCAATAAGTAATAATCTGTAAATAATAAGTGATAAGTTATAAATAATAGGTAATAAGTAATAAGTTTTAAATAAAAAAAAGGTCCCTCCAGGGCTTCCGTACAAATGTGCATGTTTGCTTGCCTAAGAAAGTAAAGACAAGTTTTAGTTTTGAAACTGGATTGTTTAATCATTTAATTCATTTATGGAATGTTTTCTTGCATCATCATCAGCTTTATCAGTACATTTGTCATGAATTGATCCTATATGACTTTCACTATTACCCTTCATTATTGCCTTTAAATAAGTTTCACTCTGTAAAAAAGACCACTCATATGTCCTAACCGTATTCCAGAAAAATAAATATAATCAATTAACAAATCACATTTGAATGTTTTCAATGAAAATAAATATTACAAAAAATTAACCACTCCGACAGTGGGAAAATTATTATATCTATCCAGGTTAATTCACGCAAATCATGAAAACGTTAAAACAGTATTAAAGAACATTGTCACATCTAGCAATAAAATGTATTTATAAACTTACTTTGTCCGGCGTACCAGTATTAACATTCACTTCGTCTGGTAGTTGCCTTTTGTTTCCCTCACGCATCACCTTTATTAAAAAAATTAAAAGTTAAGGGTAAAATAAAATATTATGATATATCTTTATGAATCATTTTAATGAGTTTTGCTTTTAAAACTGAGGTAATTTAATGACAAAAGAGGTGTAATATGTATCCGTTTTTTCTTCTTTTTCTTTATTTTTTCTCTTTTCCTTATTCATATTGCATATATTCAGCAACTTTCTTACTTTTAAACTAACATGAGATTTGTCCTGTTCTGTATCAGCCAATAAAAATGTTTTCTGAAATGTGATTAATATTTTTTTTTTTTTTTTTTTTGGGGGGGGGGGGGACGTCACATCGACGCAGTATAGGTCATATTGCGACGTTCCAGCCTTACTGATGGAGGAAGACCTTAGGTGCCCTTCCTTGCATTATTTCAGGCACGAACGGGCATCTGAGTAGAACCACCGACGTTCAGTAAGCTAGCTAGATAGCTTCCTCACATGAAAGAATCCAAAGTCCGTGTCGGGATCCGAACCCACAACGGTGAGAGGCAAGTGGTTTGAAGTCAACGACCTTAACCACTCGGCCACTGACGCCCCTAATAAACAAAAATATGAAAGAAACGTTAAACATTAAAGAAAAAATAGCATTTTCATTTGACACATTTGGCAACTTCATAAGTAAAAGACCAATTATGCACCATTAATGCCTTTTTTTTACTCAAAGGTTTTCTTATTTTCGGTTTATTTTAAAAGATCGAAAGAGATCCTCATTTGCCAGTCGCCTGGACCATCTTATCTTCTATTTCGTTTAGTTCGGAAATTAGTACAATTAAGATTATTTAGTATTTGGTATGGAAGTCAAAAATCAATAATACTTTGTTTAAATTTTGCCATATTTATGATAAATGATATCAAATAAGACTCCACTTTCTTCAGACAACAATCATCTGACATGCTCTAACATATTATCTAAACATACTCTTGTCCATTCTAAAGATCATTCGTTTCTGAGAAATAACTTAAACTTTCAAACTAACTTCGGAATCTTGTTCTTTATCCGCCGACAACCTTGTTTTCTAAAATGTATGAAATTAATTAGTACAGTTATAACTCTTAACAAAAGCCAACCAAATTCATCACAAACTAATTCTTTTGAAGAAAAAAGCAACATTATTAGATAATAAGATTTAAATAGATCTATGCAATTGTTCCTTAGACAAAATACTCACATTGTTGTCGCTATCTTTCGAAAACAACAACTTTTTGATGAAAAAAAAATACATTCGTTACTGCCATGAACTATGACATTTTGGACACTAGTCCTTAATTATCTTATTCAGTAAAAGAAATATAAATGAATACACAATAATATTGTAGCTATAAGTAGTTCCAATGTGGCACTTACTTATATGATCAATTCTTGGTTAGAAATTGACTGAAGGATTTAAACAAAAAGTTAAAAATAAGGTCGATTATTCAAAAGGCACTGATCAGTCAAAGGAACCCAAATTACCTTTAATCATAACTAATTTCTTATTTATTTTGTTTATGCAATTAAATTGGAGTGAAGTGAAAAGTCAGTAAAAAATCAATTTAAACCATAAAAAGCAATAATTTTACTTACTGCATTGAAACGCTGACTGGCGGGTTCTTCTTTAGGTGGTTGTTTTGTTGGTTTCGGCTGTGGTTTCGGTTTCGGTGGTAAAGGTGGCCGTTTGGGTGATAAAGGTGGCTGTTTGGGTGATACAGGTGGCTGTTTGGGTGATAACGGTGGCCGTTTGGGTGATAAAGGTGATTGTGTCGATGATAAAGATTGGTTGTCATGCTAATTAATCATGGTAAAAAGAATATTAAAACGTGTACACTTATTTTAACGGCATTTTAATTCATTATCGAAGTACCAATACCAGAAATGATTTTTTCAAATAACATAAACTATCCAAAGGTTATTTCTTCATTATTAATTGGTAAATACTATGGAAGAACTTGTACAAAGAATAGAATGAATTGCACTAGCCTGTTCTTGAGACGTATTTGTTTTTTGTTGGGAAGATTCTTTTTCAATAACTGAAACTTGATGTCTCAAATTTTCAACTGGTTTGTCAACAGTGTCGTCGCTTGTACTCTGCAAGAATTATTGAGTACAAGGGTATTCAAAGGAATTCATAGCCGAATTTTATTTACAAATTCAAATTAAATATGAATGCATGTAGAGACGAATGTTTGCGCAAATAACATATATAAGTAATTTTCTTTTGAGTTGACAAATAAATTGAAATAATCCCACATTGTAACCAAATTCTTTATAAGCCAAACCGTTTTTATAGTTCACCAAAATTTGTATTTTCTTATACATTGTAATAGAAGCTGATATGATATTATAGCACAATTAAACAAGATTCTTGCATAAGCACTCTACATTCAGGTATAGATAACCAGAAAAGAACACATGCATTAACGGATAGATTCTCGTTACATCTTGCCGTTTTTGCCCGTTTTAAACATGCATCACAAAGCTGTTAACGATGACGGTCCTATAGTTTTATTATCAGAATAAAATTGTCAAATGTCATTGTACATGCAGGTGGAAAGCAAAGCGCACGCAATGGTTTCTTTACACGAAATACATATAACCTAACACAGGCTTGCAGAAGCCCCTAGATTTTTATAAATCCCTCGCCCTGCTGGCTTTGGCTTCATATACGTCTACGTACTTCTGTACGCACAAAACGTGCAATACCTCCCAATGTGCTGATTTTAGTTAAATTATAACGATAATTTTACCCTTTTTAATGCTGGAAAAATTGTCGCTTTCTTATAATGTCATCTGCTTCAGTATTTCATTTCATTTAGTTTTCTAGTAATTTTAATCGGATGACAGAATTGGGTTGATGATATACCAAACTGTTAACAAAGGTTATTGTAATCGAGTTTAGAACGCTAATGGGTACTTAGACTTATTTGAAAGTTACTGTAAATGTACTGCAATAGATCAGTGGCGGATTCAGGCCCGGGCTTCAGGGCTGCAGCCCCCCCCCCAGCTTGGCTCAAAGATACGTTAACCAACTGGGCTGGAAAATATTTTTGTCAGTTTCAAACTTTATTTGCTGTAGTGCACTCCCTTATCAAAACATTAATTGCTGTCATCCAGTTATTAATCTCCTGCCTGGGGGCTTGGAAGAGATCTTTATCTATCAACATGCTTGAATGACTTCAACGTTTAAACTGCATAATTGATTGGTTTTATTATTTCCCAAAGGTCTAATGAAATTAATAGTCAAAGATAGTGGCAAATAGATGTGTTACATTGTACACCATGTTTTACTATCTTTGTTTTTCAATTTTCTTTGATTAAGAAATTGAAAAATTATTATTTGTAAATTAAAAAGATGGCGAGTTTTATGAAGATAATATTAATTGAATCGCATTTTAATAACTGGTTTTTCTAAGATTTTTATTCAGATGAACTGATTGGTCATTTGCATTTAATAACTTTTTTTATAGCAGTTATATTTTTTTTAATTGAACTGTACTAACCTCTTTAGTATCTAAAATGGATTCATTAATGGAAAAATTTCTTATTGAATATAAGTGTTTGAAATTATTTTTGTAAAATTGAAATGCAGTATTTTAATAACACTTTATTTAGAAAAGCGTCTATTATTCAGATGAGTACTTTGATCAAGTGTTTAATATTATTTTTATCAACTGTCGCGCATACATTGGTTAGTGTGCTGTTATTTTGTAACTTCTTAATACTAAACACCAGGGCATTCTATTTGAAATACCCTGCAAACACTAGCCTATACAAAATACAATGTGATGTTAAACCATCCAAAAGGTACCATAAGCAGCACTAGAATGTCAAGGATATAACACCATTTTCAACCTCATATTTCAAATTTTTCTCAGTCTATGGGAGGGGACACCCCTCCCAGGCCCACCCCAATGACATATGTTTTTCTTAATTTCATATCATCTTAATATTTACAAATATATTAATGTACACATGTATAAGTGAAAATATATTGGCCCTCACATCAATTACAATTTTTTGTCACTTGAACAAGATATAGGCCCCTTCATTCAAACATGCACACATTTCGCCTGTTGCGTTATTTTTGTCAAAATCTTCCACCCATATGTCAGCCCCCCCAACCCCTCCCCCCCCCAGGAATCCATGTTCTGTTTCCGCCCCTGTAGATGGTTCAAGATGGTTCATGTACATTTTGTTCCTGCATTTATATATGAAGAAGCACGAGGGCGACGCATTTAAAGTAACACAGACCGAGGGATTTTATAAGCCCGAACAAAAAGGCATTAACCATCTTTTGAAGTACATTTACAGTGGTCACGAAAATATATCCATTGATGCATGTATATTTCTCCGTTAATGTATATTTGTGTGCACAGTTATGCAAGAATTGACGATCTATGTGCCTACTAAGTCTGAAATAAGTCATGAAGGGGCATCTCTGATTTTGCACCTTTTTTTAGACTAATTATAAACAATCAACATCGACCTTTTTTTCTTATTTAAAGAAGTATGCATTCTCTTTACCTTTTTTAAAGTTCAGATTTAACATTTAAAGTTTAAAAGTTGAAAGTTAAAAAAAAACAAAGATATTGATCTCGTGAATTATTTCAAAAGATAAACAGAACTTGAAAGGGAAATTTACCTCAAATCTTTTGCGAAGATTAGCAACTGATTGTTTTTCTTTTGACATCTGAAAGACATATGCTTTTGTGTATAAAACAATTAAAGCACAAATATGTAGTATGCCTTTAGATTCATAATAATTTTCATAAACATTAAAAAAATTTTTTTTCAAAAATAAAATATTTTTAAAGTGAACAAAGAAAGTGATTTACACATTGCAAACGGCACTTCCATGTAAATTACCAAAACAGGTCACAAAATAGATTTTAATGAAAGTAACGCAGTAAAATATTGTGATATATATATACTGCAAAATTAAACGCAAGTAAACATGCAAAATTTTACCTGAATCTTGAAACTTCTTACTTTTCTTAAAATCTAGGTAAATTTTTTCAATTTTTAATCTCTTGAAGTATTTTGGCTCAATCGGATGCATGTAGTTTTAAAGGAGTAAATAAATGCTCTATCCTTAATATTTCTTACTTATTGCTTAAAATGTTCACTTAAACGAAAATTTTTAATATCCTACAAATGACATATATTCTAAATATATATTGATAGTCGGTATAACTTGACACAGATAAAATATAAATGTCATAAAAGGGTTTAAATTACATCCGAGTACATAAATAGCCCCCCCCCCCCCGCACAACGTAACGCCATTAACTTCATGACTGATTTATTAATTGATTTATAAAACCTTAAGACAGAGTTTAGAAGGATCAATAACCAGCTTTAAATAGTAAATTGACTTTAGTAAACGTTATTCGAAAATTCTATTAAAGCTCGACTTTAAAAGTTTGTAGCTTTATAATTAGTATCGAGTCCAACTTTCTGGAGCCTACCAGTACTGGTGTCCCATTATAGGAACCATGGTATTGACCAAGACTCGAACCTATAACCCTTGACCTAATGTTGAAACTTTGCCAAAAGAATTATGCAACGTAACCACATTAAAGCACGCATTTATTTAACATTTTAACACAGTTTAATATTATTTAATAAAATTACGCAGTTTAACTGGAAAAAAGAAGAAAGAAAAAGGAAACTGTTACCTTAAACACATACAGATGAGATTTCCAATTAAACAGCAGAAATAAACAGAAAGTTAAATTGTCCTATATATAAAGCATATTTCATAGTCTTCTATATTTACACATATATGGTTTCATGTTTATTTTATCACTATAAAATTTAAATTAACTACAGTACTTAATAGGTTATTTGTTGAATAAAATGACGTAAAAATCGTTATGTTCTAGATCATAGTGATAATATATGGATACAATATTAAAGAAAACTTAAAGTAATAAAACCAAGGCGAAACTTTTTAGGTAATTTAAACTCGTCTGTTGTTTTTCTTTCTTCCATTGACAGTAAAGCTTGAAAAAAAAAATAAAGAAAAAATGCATTCTACATAAAACCTAAACAAATAAAAAAAGATTTACAATGAATTTATCATTGTCGTGCATAAACCTAAAAATATAGTTTTACTAAACTTTATCACACACCCGTGCCGATTTTGCGACTCCGTAAATATGGTATTGCACGGCCGTGCATATATTTTGACGTGACGTCATTAGCGTTATACAGACGCGCTAAATGTTAGCGTTATTCTTTAGGCGCGTCAATGAATAATGACTCTTTTTTCACTTTAAACGGTGTTTATATTGGGTATGTGATAAATAGAATATTAAATTCGTGTAAGTTCATCACTGAATTTATTGCACTCGTTGAATAAAATAATATTATGCTCGCCAGAGGCTCGCATAATATAATTTTATTCAACTTGTGCAATAAATTCAGTATTGAACTTTCACTCATTCAATATCCTCTATATATCAATGGGTTCTAATTAGCGGAACATATTATTTGCTACTTTCAATGTGACACTGTGTCCATTCAAGGGTATATATTGAGTGAACAGGTGAAAGTCAACATTTAAGTTTACATTTTGCCATAGTTTCTTTCAATTTTATAATATGATTCGAATGAAAGATAAATAATTCACATGCCCCAAGAAAATTTCTGTAAGTATTATCTCGGTACGTGCATATCGTGATGAGGCATGAGGGAATCGGCAAAGATTTGCGACTTAGCGATTGGAACAAATACTTTATTTTGGAATATTTGTACAGTCTATTATCATTCAATCATATTATATTGTATATTGAAATAAAATATATTATACCATTAATTATCATGATCAAAGGAACCGTAAAATAATTAAAGTAACTATTTAGTAAATTCTCTGTTTTGTACTTTTCTTAAAAGATCAAAATCATATGACTTGTATGGTTTTATAGTAAATAATTAAAAAAGTTGGGGGTTATGTCCACTCTGTAAAGGTAATGGTGTCGGGTTTTGTCCACTCTATACAATTCATGTGTGGGGTTTTGTCCACTCTGTAAAATTTTGAGGTGTGGGGTTTTGACGAGTGGGGTTTTGTCCTACTTTCCTTTATTTTCGTTTTTCGGTACACTATACCGTCGAGACCAGCTGTCGATGTCCTGACTGAAGTCAAGGTGACTGATCCTAAAAAGTAGACAGGGGCGACGAAGAAGGGCACTAAGGTGAATGAGCCTAGTACGCATTGATGGCTTGAAAAAGTCCAAGGACCAACTAATCCCCCTTTGACTCAGAGTTCACGTCTTTGGCTAACACGGAGGTAAATTATCAACACTTTGTGCTTTAAAATTAAGTGACATATCCGGGGTATGACAGGTGACATGTCCGGGTCCGTACTCGACATCGAAAGTTGCGTTTCGTGGCTTTACTGGCCGATCAACTCTTATTATATTACATACATATATGTAAACATGCTATATTTAACACAGCACTTGCAATTTTCCCATACTCAGTAAGTTGATCCTTTCAAACAGAGTCTATACTAACTAATAGAGAAAACATTATTTCCAGATCTAGAAATGCTCTCCTGGTGGGTGTTACATTCTATGGTGGCTGATTTCTGCCATTTCGCGTCTTTGTGTCTTCTGCCCACAATTGTCGAAGAAGAAGACACGAAGACACAAAAATATGCTCACTTATCGGTCATCGCCTTTGACTTTTGAGTGCGCCGACACGAAGACACGATACATTTCAGGCGAAAAAAAAACAACGATATTTCAATAGAAGAAGACACGAGATCTGCAGAATTATCATGTCGGCGGGTAGAAATATTTGTATCGGCGCCCTGTTTTTGCAGTGCCTTCGTGTCTTCGCCTCAAAAAGCGGAAGGCGAATGCACGATCGATAATTGGCCAATTTATCGTGTCGGCGACGACACGAAGTGGCAGAAATCAGCCACCACAATATTCAGAATATTTTGAAACCACCATTATACTTAATCAGTACGTTAACAGAATATAAATCATTTATTTTTAAATTTTTTGCATAAAAAATATTTAAAAAAATAATAATAAATAGATAAAGGAAAAAAATACTAAAAAAACAACAACAACAAAACCCCAAACAAAAAAACGACGACAACAAAACAATGCAGTCGCAACCATTCCTAACCAACACATTCCATAATTTTTTAACTAAATGCTTACTTTTATGTCTCAAAGACATGAATGCACGACTTTTCGACGAATGCGATAGAACGAATTTCGCAGGCGAAAATAGGTAGAGTTTATAGACCTTTTTTTCAATACGAGTTTTCCATAGCAATCAATGTTGCATTTCGCGCATGTGCATTCTGCCACGGATTTATATTATATAATATTTGTAATATAAATCCGTGATTCTGCGTAGGGCAAAAGCTCAATAAAATTGACAACAGTGTATGATACTTTAAGGCTTTAATAGTCGTGATTCGATGTTATATCAACCAGAAAACAGTAATTTTGGGATGACTTTAAGCGATAAGTACTTAAAACATCAATTGATATTCATAACAGATATAATAATCTATATGCAGGACTAATAATCCAATGGTCAAAAGGCGCATACAAAAGACGTCTGTTTAAGGTTTCATTAGACGACTTTTTCATCCATAATTTAAATTTAAACAGCAGGGTGTTAAAGATTAAATTTTATTACCCCTGTATTACATAATATTACACAATGTGTATTGTACACTTCCTTTAGATTTGCCAGGCGGTAAGTGTCAAACGGATTGACACGCGACCGTGGTTGTTTGTTTCCAGCTAGATATTGTATTCAACCGGGGCGTTTTAGATCCATGACATATTTAATTAATCACGTACACTTATAAAAATCGTAACTTTTATATATACCGATCTCATCAATGTTTATTGATATGTGAAGTGACAATTAGTGTGACTTGCATTAAAAAAATATTAACATGTGTTACGAGGAACCTAATAAAAGGAGTTTATTTCACTTTCCTTAAAGATTAAAAATCAAAGCACAGAAGGCGCTGAATTTGTTTGGGTCTCAGAATGTCAGTGAGATTATAAACCAATTTGTTTTTGTCACGGATTTATATTACATGTAATATAAATTCGTGGTTTTTGTATAGTGCCACCAATGCTTTCCAGTGTTTTAACTGTAGTAAATTGGCTATAAGACTGATTGCAACACTGATATTCAATTCAATGTTTATTTGACTTAAAAATTAAAAAAAAATGAGTTGCCTCAACTGGGATTTGAACTTCAGACCTCTCGATTCCTAAGCGAGCGTGTAAACCCCTCGGCCACGGTGAAGTTATATACAATTGGCATGAAGAAAACCATATTATTCTTAATTAGGGTTTGTAACTTATTATTTCGACGCTAACACAGATGTAAATAATCAAGGAGCTTACTATAAACATGTATATCTATAAAGAATAAAACAATATTAGAAATCTTCGACCATTCGCGGACTACTTTCGGCATTTTCAATTAACAGCATCAGGGTCTGAAATTTCGCTACCATTATTTGTTTGGTCTGACGACCCAAACAAATAAAAACGTGAAATTGGCAGTAACAGTAGCACAGCAGTTAGCAAAAGCACATCAGTAGCAGTAGCACAGAAATAGCTGAGCAGTGACATGAATAATATATTTTCAACAATCATTTAGCTTTAACATGTATTGCAACTCCACAATATGACGATTTTCAGTGTACATTTTGTTATTCAACATCAATTGCTAAATAATAACACTTACGGTATTTAGAAAACAATTCATTCTAAATTATAGAGACATGTTTTAGAAAGAAAAAAGACAGTTTTATATAAATTGTTTCATCAGATATGTAATTGTATTTTTATAGAAATTTTAATTTTACAATCGAAGATCTGTTGTTTTTGTAATGCTGGCTGAATACTTCTGAATACTTCATATAATTGATTTCATGACCGAACATAACATTGTAATTTATCATTAAATGATGTGTATATGATGAATATCTTTTCTCCACATTACAAAGGTACGTTACTTACATTTAATATATACATATAATTTTCTATGTTTTCATCCTTTCATGATATTTTCTGTGGTTGGTAGTCATGATCTTTTCTGTGGTTGGTAGTATTATTCGGGTTACTTTTTCCCCCTGCAAATCAGCAAGTACAGACCTTTGGTCAATGTACATGTAAATGAAATTTATATGGGCACACACCGAACAACAATTTCAAATATGCAAATATATATACATGGTGAAAATTCCTTTTTTTCTGAGAAGCATGTAAATTAACAAGAGTGTCTGTACTTATTTTCAAAGTACATTTAGTATAGCATTTTTATGTTGATATATACTGATGCGAAGATATATGCAAATATATCAGATGTGGTGATTTCCAAATAACTGGCTTCTTACTTTAAAGTAGATTGAATAGAATAGGATGGCGCCAGTTAAAAATGAGGAGATTTCAAGATGAGATATAAAGTTGTAACCTTTATCAAATTGCCATTACACCATACTTGACGCCGAATACCGACCGTTCTACGTTAATGCTTAAAATACCGGCAGTTTAAGTGCAAGGTCAATGGTCAAAACTATTTTGATTAAAGTTCTATTTACTCTCTGAAAAAAGCAAAAGAAAAAAAAAAGAAATCCATGTTTGGATATTCTGATAAAAATGTTGTTTGAAACAAAAATGTTCAAAATGACATAAAATGAATATTACTATGATGAATAATATAATTTTTATTTTAGAACATTTTATTTTCTGCTATAATCATGTGGATATATATATAGCTTCCATATATAGTTATTTCG